GGAAGCCAAACTCCAGTCCTCTGGAAGATCAGTGAATGCTTTTTACCACTGGTCCATCTCTCCTGTCCACTCCAAATTGTGGGTTCTTGATTGGGCAAATGTGACCAATTTTAATAACATTTACTTTCTTCATAATCTATGCAACAGTGTTCTTCATTATACTTTCCAGAAACTGACCTTGTTTTGGTTGTAGATTGTCTTTCTCATGGGCTGGTGTAGAGTAAGTTATGTGAGTGTGTAATGGTACAATCCAGGAAGCTTTTCTGATTAATAGATCACTTGCTTATATGTTGAATTACTGTTGTTACTTAGAACTTGCAGTGGTTGGAACTCACTTATGTTTTCCTATTTGAAAACCACTTCCAAAGAGGTAACACAATGCTCTTGCAACTGTAGCCTTGAACTACTTTAGTAATGGAGTCTTTGATCATTAAGATATTTGAGATAATGCACTCAAACTTTGAATCATAATAAAGAACTAATGGTGTTGACCACATTCATTGTGACTAGAGAATTCCAACAGAGCCTCTCAGCTCCTCTAGTCTTCCAGGACTCTGAAACTTTTAGCAAAGCCTGAGTTGGCTTTTATTACTTTGGATGAGACCATGGATAGACTCTATTTTTGAAGCACATTGTTTGCCTTTTTCTAAAAAGACAGCTGTTTTATGTCTCAAAGACAATAGCAATTGCTGTACAAAATTTTATTGTTTGTATAAAACAACATATTCTGGTCTTTTTCTATTTGAATTACTTATTTATACATCACAATATAATTATTGTTGTCTGTTATGCCTCCTGCAATTTTGCAAGACTAATGTTTGAAGATTTATTTATTGTTTATTTATTTGTTGCCAGCTGCTTGGAAATTCTCTCATCAAAGTCCTGACAAAAATAATAACAGAATTATTGATTACTACTTAGGTTTCAGGAACTTTATCTACTACTTTCCTTTTCTTCTTTCTTTGCTTAAAAAAACTATGTTTTCAAGTGAAGACATCTCTGATATCATTATTTATGTCCTTCTTCCAAATTTATGCACACACTTTGGTTCTCTCTCTCTCTCTCTCTCTCTTTCTCTCTCTCTCTGTGTGTGTGTGTGTGTGTGTGTGTGTGTGTGTGTGTGTGGGTGTGTGATTTGTAAGGCCTGAGGATAACTTCAGGTGTAGGGGAGACTAGCTGACATACTTATCGGTCAACTATAGTCATATATCTGTTTGAATTAAAACCACTTGCCTTAGGGCTAGAGAGATACGTCAGTGGTTAAAAGCAGTTGCTCCACTTGCATAGGACACACATTCAATTTACATGGCACCTTCACTTCATCTGTCATCCAAGTTCCAGGGGATAGCCAACCCTCTTTTGGCCTCCTCAGGTTCTAAGCATGCACACAATTCACTTACATACAGAGAAGCAAAACATTCAAGCACATAAAATAAACAGAAATACATCTCTTAAAAACCACCACCTATCATCACTCATTTGTACACGGCAATGTGAATCATCACAAACATATGTGGATTTTAGAATTTGACACTTTTGCCTATGATTAGGCCAATTCTTTTAGATAAAGATGAAAGAAAATATCAAGTCACACATAGGCTTTTTAGGGGAACCCTAAGAGGGAATTAGTAAGTCATTAGGCTGTTTAAGCAAGAGTCAGTGTTCTGCCTATTTGTGGATGGGTGTTACAATATAGCTCTTCTCTAGTTTCATACCTCTGTCTAACACCCAGTTGTAATTGTTGGCACATAATCTTTTCCTATATTAGCCTTTTTTCTTTTCTTTTCTTTTCTTTCCTTTTCTTATGCAATCTATCTTTGTTGATATCAACAGGGGGTCTTTTTATTGTGCTGTTCTCATGTTTGATATGACAGTGAATTTCTTTGCTAAACATAAATTATGATTTGTTGACCATTTAATCTGTCAGTATTAATCATGATTACTCTTATATAGAAAATAGATATAAATATTTTGAGCTAGGTTAGATTTTATTTTAATAATATTGACACATTTAATAATGATTTTGGAACAAAAAGAATAGAATTTCCATTGCATTCTTGATTTTTTTTCTTCGATTTATACAAATGGAAGTCAATTATTGAACTGTTTTCTCACTTCTTTACCATGTATTCGATCCCCCAAAATCTGACACTCATTTTTATAGGTTTTATCTGAAGAGTTATGAGATAAAGTTTTATTATTAGGAAAGCCCAGAAACTGCAAATTTGGTAGTACTATTAAAATCCTAAGGCCTCCTAAAGAAAGCACAGGTTTAAATAAAACCGAAATGATTAATATCCACTCTTTCATTCATGGATTTGAAGTTTACACAAAGTGCCTTCTTTGCATGTAGAAGCATATTTCCATTACTTTTTATATTTTATGTCTCCCCATGAACATATGCATGTTGAATTATGATAGGGTATTAGATGCCATCCTTTGGAGTTTACAAGGAAGTGGCAGAGAAAGGGGTTTGACAAAGCCTTCAGGTTTTCACATGCATGGCTATTCATGCAGTCATGATATAAAACTGTATTGGCATTTGAAGAATTGTCCTCTCTCTGGGGCAGGCACTTTTCTTGTTGGTGATGATGCTCATTTGTTATTGGCTTTCAAATATGCAAAATTCTGAGTGTTTTATTCTTAAGCACTGAAATGTTTCAGAAAATACATGTATTAAAGATGTTGGTAATGTTTTTCTCAAGGTTTTTTTTTTTTTAAAGTCAGATTTTAAATAGCTTCAATGAAGTCATTTGCTGTGTCCACAGTTGTCTTGAAATCTGGACTCAACATGGATAAAGTCTTTGTCATCTAACATCTTCCAGTGACTTTTCTCTCCTGTGTCTTTTATTTGTCTTTGAAAAAAATTAAAGTAACACACACACGCATAGATACACACATGTATACACATATACAAGTGCATAGGCAGGTACGTTATCAATATATTCATTTTAGGCAAGCTCCTTATATGTTACAAAAATGGACTCAGCATACAGTTCCAAGTCTCTCTCTCTCTCTCTCTCTCTCTCTCTCTCTCTCTCTCTCTTTCTGTTTGTATGATAGACACATCTAATATTTAATTTATATGCATTCATATATGAATAACTTTTGCTTTTGTATTTCTTCTAGCCTTCTTATCTCCTCCAATTCTATCCCAAGGTTTTGTTTTTGTAAATGTTAAGCTGATTATATTGTGAAATATTGTGCAATGTAATGAAAATTTTCATTAGGTCATCTTTACACAAGAATACCATAAACATCAATTAAGCTGGAAAACTAGGGCTATAAACAAACTCATTTTAATACATGTTTATTCAATGGTCAGGCAGATGTTAACCCTGCATCCATGCTTTGCTAAAGCAATCTTTATAGAAAACTCCTCTGAGAGCCAAATAAAAGACTTAGCCCTGAATATTCCTGAGCTGAAAAGATAAAAATATGTTATTCTAATAATTGTGAATTCTAACTATTGAGATCTTCTATGGTAGGATTAAAGCAGTCAACAAAATATTTATTTTTTAGTAGCATAAGGTGGACATATTTTGAGGATGAATGGTGATATTTTAATATCTGTATGTAGCATGTATTATTTAAATCAATATAATAAGCACTTTGATCTACTTCTTATTCCTTATACCCTTCAACTCCTCTGTCTCTTTTAGATCCTCTCAAATATACAATAGGTTATTGTACACTGTAGCCCTACTGCTGCATATTAGAATAGTAGAACTTGTCGTATTTCTTTGCCTACATCTATCACCCCTCATCCCTCCCTACCTTTCTTGGTGTCTAATGGCTGCTTTTCTCCTTTTGTAGTTTCCATATGTGAAAGACAACATGTGGCACTTGGTTTTCTAGTTTTAGCTTATTTTGCTCAGTGTAGTCCTTCAATTTCATTCACTTTGTCTCAGAGGATAGAATTTCATTTTTGTTGATGGCTATGTAATTCCATTATTCCAGTAAGCATACATACCATGTATTCTTTATCCACTCATCTGTTGATGGGTGACTTAAGGTGATTCTGTATCTTGGCTAATGCCATACTAAAATAATATACTTGGTTTTGCAAGGATCCTTGTGATCTTTTTCTCTGAATATGTGTCCAGACATGAGAGGCAGATTAGATAGGTTTTTTTCTGTTTTTAATTTATTTCTGAGGAATATTCTATTTTGTTCTCTGTAATAGCTGTTATAATTTGCATTCCAACTAGCTATGTATATTTCATTAGGAAGCAGGTTCTTAATAAAAGTGAAGATTAAAGCAAATAGGGAGAAATAGCTTATTTGTGGCTAATTAAATGATCCCCAACATAAAAGAGGGAGGTGTGTGTGTGTGTGTGTGTGTGTGTGTGTGTGTGTGTAGGGCTAAATGAGGGTCGTGGGTTCTCTGCAAAGCATGGGGTCACAGTGTATTGTTTCTAATGGGAAATCTAGTCATAGAGATGTCACAATGAAGTGACTGCTTGAGGTAACTGATGGTCAGAAAGAAATTATGTATTAGATTTTCAAAGAGAATGCATAGTAATCTAAATGGAAGCGTCATGTATCACTGGCTAAGGTGGAAAGTGGTTAATAGTGTTCCTAAAAATTATGGGCAAGTTTCTTTGATTAAGTGAGCGTTGGATTCTCCTCTTCTATTGAAGGCAGTTCCAGACACAGGTGAATTTTAGGAGGAGGTGTTGATAAAATTGCTGACACCTTTGCACTCAGGACAAACATTTAAAAATAATTTTTCATTGTAACATGTTTCTCTTTAGGATTTTTGTTTTGTCAGCAGTGGGAACAGCAAGCAAGGACCAAAAAAAAAAAAAAAAAAGGAGCGTTTAGAGGGGGACCGATAGCTTTTTAAAAATCTATTTTTTTTCTCACTTGTCCCCAAAGACAATAAAGGACTATCCAAAGTGCTGTTTCCCAAAAGGACCTGTGGATATTGAGAAACCAGAGCTGGGTTGTTGCTGTGAAAAACTGATAAAATTGACATCTTCTTTTCCTTCTTACAGACCAGAATGAAGGATTTCATTGCAGGGAAGAATGCCGGATTCTTGGCCACTCTGATAGATGCTGGATGCCCCGGAATCCTATGCCCACCCGCTCCAAGTCCCCTGAGCATGTGAGGAACATCATCGCTCTGTCCATTGAAGCTACTGCTGCTGATGTTGAGGCTTATGACGACTGCGGCCCCACCAAGCGGACTTTCGCGACCTTTGGAAAAGATGTCAGCAGCCACCGGGCTGAGGATCGACCCATCCTGAAAGGCAAGCGGACTGTCGATGTGACCATCTGCAGCCCCAAAGTCAACAGCGCTATCCGAGAGGCAGGCAATGGGTGTGAAGCTATTAGCCCTGTCACCTCTCCACTCCATCTGAAGAGTCCTCTGCCCACCAAGCCTTCCATGTCTTACACCGTCGCCCTGGCTCCTCCTGCTCATGATCTGGAGCACCATGCCAACAGTGGCGCCTCTCGTCCTTCTGAAGCTGAGCCCCGTGGAGCCGACAGTGAGAAAGTCATGCATGAGGTCAACCCTATTCTGAAGGAAGGTCGCGACAAGGAATCTCCTGGCGTGAAGCGTCTGAAAGATATCGTTCTCTAAACCCCTCTGGGTTCGAAGAAGAGAGAACGAAACCACACTGGCTAATGAAGATGTAGCAGCTGCTCATTTTAATTGCTCACCAATGGTTGGTTCTTGAGTAGCTGCATTGTAGAGCTTTCCCTAAATGTATTGTGTATAAGTGACTATCATTCTGTGACAATCCCTCTTGTTTCAACAGGCAGTAGGGGTGTTCAGTTGGAGCAAATTAGCTTTGGCTTGAGTTGTTCATGGGGCCTTGATGTTGGGGAAACAGAGGCAAATTCAATTGTGAAAAAGTATTATGTATTAAGTGTTTGAATTTATATATTTTTATATGTCAAAATGATAATATAAATTACCATTGTTTGTGAAGAATTACATTTAAAAAAGCAAAAAGAAAAAAAAAAGAAAAAAAAAAACAAAACAAAGCTCTGGATACCTTTAAGAAGCTCGCCACTGTTTTTTGTAGTGTAGACAAGTTATTGGTCATTTATTGTGTACTATTCATTGATTCAGTGATGTGAAATCGAGCCCCCAAAAGGTTGTTTCTGAAGCTCGAGTACTTTCCAATGCCGCTACTTTGCTGTCGATGCCCCTGCTTTAAGAACCCTTTTGCTAGCTGTGCTGTTGTTGTATTTGATATTGCAAATTGCTATGTGTGTGGTGATGGCAAAAGGCTTTTAAAGGTTGATGTTTTCTTTTCTTAAAAAAATAATAAAAAATACAGATAAAAACAAAATGCGAACAATGGAGGCAGCAAATGAGTGAGCAACACCACACCTAGAGGTTGAGGACGTGGTGGATATTCACATGGTTTACTCCATGGAGTGATTGCTCACCAACCTTGCAGAGGATTTCTCCTGCCTTTCAATCTTCTGCCTGGATCTGTGCTAGATCATTGTAGAAAGTCATTTTTGGATTTGCTGCTATCTAATTTGCAGTTGTCAGAAATACTGTGCTGAAAATTTTATGAGATACATTATTTTTTTTTCTAATTTTCAGGCCCTGCACAGGAAAGTTACTCCTGAAGTTATCAGTTTTCAGGCTGAGAAATTCCCTGTCTCCAGTCATCTAAAACCCATGTAACATGACTGAGTCTATTTTGAGAACTAAATTACCATCTCTTTAGACATATACTTTCTGATTCAGTGTTTTCCCAATCATGATTGGAATAAGATGGTAAAGCGCATCATGGGCTGGAATTAAGGGCTCCATATTGCTCTTTATCTTAGGCTTATAAATAATGCTAGAGTAAGCAGTATGAAGTGTACACATAGGAAAAGACAGGTAATAACATCACTAATCTAATTACTGTGCCTTCTAAACGGAGACACTCAGACACTTGAACTCGTCTTTTTATGACTAATACTTTTTTGATTAAAAATGTGAACAAGAAATTATTAAAACAAAACTTCTTTAGATTTAGCTAACTCTTTTTTTTCTGTAGGCTAGGAATATGCCTTTTAACACTAACAAACTGTACCTTCTTTTTGTTGTTATTGTTTTAACACTGCACAAATGCCCCTATTTTATCATGTCTATTAATATTCACTAGCCAACATAGTATTCTTGCAGCCTAAGAGTTCATTATTTAAAATAAACTAAAGAAACATGTCACCTTTCCTCTACCTTTGTCTTAAAAGAATTGTTTCTAAAGAAACAAGATTTTTGTTCTTCTCTCTTTTGTAATTCAAGAATACTTAGAAAGGCTAGAAGTTAGAGCGCTAGAATTCAAAAGAGAATTTATTTTCTTAAGTTTAGTAGATAACAGTCAGCTTTTTGAAATGTTTTCATTATTTTTTACCTGAGTTCCTAGCTTTATACATTACTAGGAATATTTTCTTTTGTGGGAGGTGGGAGGGTTTTAAGGGAAGGGGTGGGTAAGGCACTGGGCATGGGGTTAGGTAGGGGAGAAGATTTCTGGAAAAAAAGACACCTATAATGAAGCTACAAATTTATTCTTATTTCCTATTCTGTACTGAATACTACCTCATGCAAAATATTGGCATGGCTGCAAATTTCCTCCCCCTTCCCCCCACTGACACAGTTGCCCTTCCATCTTCTTCTTGCCTCAGTTAATTTTCTCTCATATATTTTCTCCTGTTCTGATTTACTTTATTTTAGTAGAGTAGATTATGAGTTAGGTATTTATTTTTGTTCCTCCAGATGACTATTTAATTAACACATTTAGCTTTTGACAAGTGTCCTTTAAGTTAGAATGACTGCCTATAGAATTTCGACTGCTCTTCACCGTGATCTATCTGAGAGTATCTTGTTAGTTAGTGCCTCAAGGTCACTTTGTAGTCAGACTGGACAGTTTTCTACAGGTGTATTTCTTACTAGGGAGTTTGAAAGATTGTGGAAAATGGAAATGGAAGGATGGAACGTAGAGCAGCCACTGCCTGCAACAGTCTTACCAGCCACTTAAAAACACAGCAGTGGCATTAACTTTTTTTTAAACCTTTTTTTAAAGCAACTAATTTCTTAAAGCAATTTCTTAAGTTATCCCCAGAATTTATGTTCAAGCTTTAGATTCATCCTTTTACCCTATCTATAAAATCATTGTTCTCAGTGGGCAGTCAGCATTTTTTTTCAGTTTCCAAACTATTTACTATGTTCAGAGAATTTTTCTCACTAAGGAAATTCCGCGCCCCCCTTCCGATTATCTGATGGAAGTGCAAGTGCATCCTAGGAGGGCTTTGTAGGCAGGTTCTACAGGCAGGCTGTGCTTGCAAATAGGACTTTTGCACAAGGGTCTTAAATTTCCCATCAAAGTGGGATTCTTCCCCTCCCTTTTTAACATATGTGATAAAAAGGTACCTAGGCCAATGGGGCAAATATCTTTTCCTTTTTTTTCCTGCAAACATGTTACACACTTAAGCAAGTGGGAACAATTTTAGTTCCCAAGTCCTAGGGAGTCCAATTCTACTTATTCTGATGTCCCTAGATCATGAAGTGTAACATGCTTAAAATTTTTCTGGCCAGGTAAACGTCTTTATTCAGTATAGGGAATCTAGTTTGCATTGATTGATTGCTTTCTCACAAACATAGGAACATGCTATTCAGTAAGAAATTGGGAGAACTGCTCCACAGTGTCCTATGGAAACTTTTCTTTCCCTATGCAGACTAGTAAATGAACCTGTTCAGAATGAAACTTAGTGTTCCATTGATCCTCTGAAGCCAGTAGAAAAAGTGAAGGTTTATCTTGGTACTGAATAGATAGTGGGCTTTGGAATTCAGTACTTCCTGCAGAACAGTGCTTCTCAAAATACTGTCTCAGAGCAACATCACTTAGGAACTTGTTAGAAATGATAATTCTATACCCCTGCCTAGAATGACTGTATAAGAAATACTGAGGATCTGGCCCAGAAATCCATATAAGTCAGAGGCCCGCTCAAGTTTGAGGGCTTGTTAAAGCACAGGTTTGTAGAGCCTAATCCTTAGAATTTTTATTCAGTTGTTTTGGAGTAGGATCTCTTTTCCTATCTACAGATGCCTAGGAGATACTGAGGAGACAATGCTCCAGAGGAAACTTGCCTCATAGGATTAACTGCATCTAAAGTGGCCATTTATACACACTTGTTGATGTGGTGACCAACTGACCACTAATGAACTCTGAAACTGGAAAGTACCTTCCAGATCCTGTCATCTCAGCATATGGCTGGTAGAGGAGAATTCAAACGACTTTTTCCTCTATACCTACCATTTCACTCAAAAGCAAACACAAATGGTCCACTTGAAGTAGCAAAGACAAGAGGCAGTTTGGGGAGAGGCAAGGATGGAAGGGATAGCTTTTTTGGGCATTCAAGGTGGAGTAGGATTATTACTGTACATAATCCATTTTATGGGGAACATTTTGATGTCAAATGTTTCCCCCAGGCACTCTCAGCAAGTCTGGTCCACTTGGCTCTTTTCACAGGGTAATAAGACCCTTCTGACTTTGACAAACTGGCATAAATGAGCTGAAGAAGTCCATTGTATACAGTCCTAGTGTTTGCCTTCTTGGTAAAATTACATTTTAAGGATGTCATTTCATGAGTCAAATTGTATCTGCTGACACTAAAGTGTATTGAGATGTTGTTCTTTAGTTTAAGTATGTATCAAAGTAATATTCAAAGGGGATGTATGGGGGTGGGACTGGGACTGGGTGGCTTTATATTGATATTGAAATATTCCAGAGCAAAACACATTGTCCTAATGAAGTTGTTACAGCTCTCTTTGTTTTCTTGTGAAGCTGGAATTGGCCCGTGGGTCACTTGTTGTGCAAAAGTGAATTAATTTCAAATAGGAATCACATTGCTTTTGTAAAACAAAGAAAATCAACCACCTTGTCTGAAGTATATGTTGTAAGGCGCTCTTGGTAAGCAACAACTCAGAAACACCTGACCTTGATTGGAAAGCATTGTAGGTCATTAGGGAAATCTGATGATGCTGACTGGTGTTCCAGCTGTGTTGGCAATTAAAGATGACCTTGTTACTAACTGAATGTTGCTGTCAACCTTAGCAAACAAACCAGCTAACACCTTTACAGCACCAGTTAAGTAGATGTTTACTGGCACTGGTTGACATTCAGCTGAGGAAGGCTAAGACACAGACTAATGACCAAGAGTCAGACTAGGTCTAGCTAGAAATTCAGCAACAAATACCTCCTTGTGCTCTTTGAATGCTAAGGTATTAGTTGCAAAAGGCTTACGCCTTCGCTCCTCTAGTGAGGGGATTGAGCCTGATGACACTATTACTGTTTACCTGTCAAACCAGGGTGGCGATTTAGAAGGATGCAGTACAGTATGTCTCATTAAGCAGTCTCTGTTGCTGATTATATGAAGATGAAATGGTTGTATATGCTGATCTGTATGTTATGTACATTTTCACAGTGATTGAATCATTGTAAAAACAAAAAAGACAAAAAAGAATCACCACTCTGTCTATTTTATGAAGATGATAAAGCAGCTTTATTAAATTATTACGGTTCTGTTCTAAATGGTGTTACCTGCCACATTGTTTCCTTTTATCTGGTGGTTCCCTGTTTTCCTCTTAAATGTGTTTTCTCTGCTTCAAAAATTTAATGCATTTTAGTATTAAAGGCTATTATGGAAAAAGTAATGAGTTTTTGGTGAAATGTGTCTTGGAGTGTGGTTTTTTTTTTTGTTTTTTGTTTTCATTGACTGGGAGTAGAAGCGTCTCAGAACTTGGAATTAACCAGTTCTTGGTGGAGTTACTGATGTTCGGGCAAAGATTTTCATTTGCCTTTCCTATTTCATACAACATTCAACTTCCTAATAGAGGGACTTCTTCCTGGATCCAGTAAATCCAGTTATTTACATTGTAACCCCTCCTACTGTCAGCCCTATCAATATTATTACAGAAGGAGGGATACCCATTTCACAAAGGGGATGCAAAAGATTTTTCCATGTGCCACTTTAAACAAGCACTCTAAAATTATTCTTTAAAATAAATCATTTCAGGGGCAACTGCACAGTGGGATTTCTGTGTAAAATTAATTTTTTTAAGGACAAGCTATAGCTGAGGCTGTCAGTAGGGAAAAAGAGAGTGTAAAACAAAGATGACCTGGCTGCCCCTTGATGCCTTCAGGTTTGAAAATGAAGCATCAGGAGAGGATCTGACTTTGTACATAACAAGGTTGCAGAGAAAGCTCTGACAAGCACTCTTTATTTAAACAATTATTCTGTGGAACTTAACACTTGGGCTGTGAGTATTCATTCTGGCTGAAGCTGGAGGGGGTGGATAGAGGAAGGGGAGTGCACATAGAATATTACAAATAGTGCCTTTAGTGGTTAAAGGGTAAATTGCTTCAGCATGACCTATTCTTTCCAGACAATTAAAAGTGATCTTAAGGAAATCCACTGTCTTCCTGGATCTCCATCTTCCTATTATCTCTGCTCACCTGTATTAAATTGAGATTGTATCTTATTCTCCAGAATTAGCCCTAGAGTCAAAGCAATAGCAAGAGATTTGATACTGCATTTTAATAGGTGTTTTATCAGAATGCAAACAGGCATGCTGGGGCACTGGGATTCCATAGACTGGTATATGTACAGATGTTCACATGGCCTCACAGATGGACAAACATATTGAAAAGAGACTGCTCTGTCACTGGACTGGAAACTATTAAGACACAGGGGGTCAAGGGAATGCTTCTGGGTTAGCCTGCACCAAAAGCACAAAGAGAAGTTTCTTGGAGTGTTTTCCATCAAGATAGATAGATAGATAGATAGATAGATAGATAGATAGATAGATAGAGTCAGGGAGGAGGGGTAGAGCAAAAAGTCAATTCCATTTTAGAAACAAAGAAGAAGATTCTCATATGAAGAGCCTTCACATGTATAAGAAAGGTACACTCAAGGTCATAACCATGTTCATTGCTTATCTATGGGAAACTGGCAATATTATGTAAGCATAAACTCAAATGCATTCAAGTTTATAAACCAAACCATAACAAACTATTGTTTCTATGAGGGTGCTCTCCCAGCCCCTACCTTCTCCCAACTTACCGGCCCCCCCCCCCCCCGGCGCATTCCCCTATGCTGAGTCATCAATGGCTCCCCTCCCATTGATGTCAGATAAGGCCATCTTCTGTTACATATGCAGCTGGAGCCATGGGTCCCTCCATGTGTACTCTTTGGTTGGTGGTTTAGTCCTGGGAGCTCTGGGGAGTCTGGTTGGTTGATATGATTGTTCTTCCTATGGGGTTGCAATCCCCTTCAGCTCCTTCAGTCCTTTCTCTAACTCCTTCACTGGTGTCCCCATACTTAGTCGGATGGTTGGCTGTATGTACCCACATTTGTATTGGTCAGGCTCTGGCACAGCCTCTCAGGACACAGCTATACCAGGTTTCTGTCAGCAAGCACTTCTTGCCATCAACAATAGAGTCTGAGTTTGGTGTTTCAGGATGGGATGGATCCCTAGGTAGGGCAGTCTCTGGATGGCCTTTCCGTCAGTCTCTGCTCCACTCTTGGTCCCTGCATATCCTTTTAATAGGAACAATTCTGCATTAACATTTTTGAGGTTAGGTGGGTGGCCCTGTAAGACTTTGAAGAGCCTTAACTTTCCTGGGACTGAGTGAACAATGCAGAGCCGGGGATCAATGCAAAAGCAAGAGGAATTTATAGTTCTAAATTGTTGGGGTCATCCTGTACTGGAAGGAGAGGTGGTGACCACACACAGACCGGTTGGCAAGTTTTTATGCAGTTTTCAGAGCAGCAGCCATTAGGCACAATGTGATTGGCAAAACAGTGTGACTTTTAAACTTTAGGGAATGAGGTGGCAAAGACTTCCCTTGTCTCTAGGTGGCTAATGGTTGGTCTGTCCCGTGGATTTCGTCCATGTGCTCTGGGCCTCTCCCACCTGCAGACGGCCATGGTGCTCCCCTCCTCCCGTGTGGTCTGGGGAATGTTAATTAGCCTCTCCCTTCCCGAGGGGAGGGATGCCTAAATGTTCCATGATCTTTTTCTTCCAGGAGAGAAGGGGTCTGGTGGAAACTTCCATAGGTCCTGAACTGATCTCTTCAGCCCCATCCCTCAAACAGGGGCATGCCTATCCACTGGAAATGGTCTCTAAAAATTCTCTCTCCCCTTTGTTGGGTATTTCAGCTAATGTCATTTATGTTGGGTCCTTGGAAACTCTTGGGCTCCTGGCATCTGGAACTTTCTAGTGGCAACCCCAAGTTCCCCTCCCCGACTGCTACACACCTCCTTTCAGATTCCTGACCCTATGTACTTCTGCTCTGTTTCCTTCCACAACTGATCCTGCCCCGCTTTTCTTTCCCCTTCTCTCTCCCTCCCAGATCTTTTCCTCCCTCTACCTCCCATGATTATTTTCTTCCCCCTTCTGGGTAGGACTGAAGCATCCACACTTTGGTCATCTGTTTTCTTAGGTTTCATATCCTCTATGAGTTGTATTGTGGGTATTCTAAGCTTTTTTGGGATAATATCCACTTATCAGTGAGTACATACAGTGTGTGTTCTTTTGTGACTGGGTTACCTCATTCAGGATGATATTTTCTAATTCTGTCCATTCACCTATGAATTTTATGAAGTCATTGTTTTTAATAGCTGAGTAATATTCCATTGTGTAAATGTACCACATTTTTTGTATCCATTCCTCTGTTGAAGGACATCTGGGTTCTTTCCAGCTTCTGCCTACTATAAATAAGGTTGCTATGAACATAGTGGAGCATATATCCTTGTTAAATGTTGGAGCATCTTTTGGGTATATGCCCAGGAATAGTATATCTGGGTCCTTAGGTAGTACTATGTCCAATTTTCTGAGAAGCCGACAGACTGATTTCCAGAGTGTTTGTACCAGCTTGCAATCCCACCAACAATGGAGGAGTGTTCCTCTTTCTCCACATCCTTGCCAGCATCTGCTGTCATCTGAGTTTTTGATCATAGTCATTCTGATTGGTGTGAGGTGGAATTTCAGGGTCATTTTGATTTGCATTTCCCTAATGACTAAGGATGTTGAACATTTCTTTAGGTGCCTCTTGGCCATTTGAGATTCCTCAGTTGAGAATTCTTTGTTTAGTCCTATATTTCATTTTTAATAGGGTTATTTGATTCTCTGGAGTCTAACTTCTTGAGTTCTTTGTATATCCTCCTGTATATTGGCAATGGCTTTTAAGCCTGCCTGACACTTTAATTCCCTAATTTTTTTGTATTTTATCTGCATATTAATTATACAAAATAACACACTTCATTATAACATTTCTATATATGTCTAGAAAGTACTTTGATGATACTCATCTCATATACTATTATTTCTTCTCTCAACTTTGCCCCTTTCCCTTCCACATCCCTTCTGGATTCCTTTTTAGTTTTAGTTTTTTTTGTTTCCCTCTTCACACATTCCAAATGTGATAGCAAACAAACAATATTTGTTTTTATGGGAGTGGTTTATTTCATTCAATATAATATATCTAGGTTCACTTATTTCCCCTAAGGATTACAGATTGTTTTCTTCTTTATGGATGAGCAAAACTCTTCTTATATATATGTACCATGTTTTATTTATTCACTCATTGCTTGGTGAGCCATACTTTTGCCATTGTAAATAGAGCCATGATATATATGGGAATACAGATTCCCATACTTTTCCCATTGCTGTGACAAAATACCCAACAAGGAGAAAAGTAAGGGAAAAATGGGTGTGTTTTGGCTTACAATTCAAGGGGGATTACAGTTCACCATGGCAAAAAAATAAATGGCAGCAGGAGCAGATATCTCATGGTCACTTTTCACCTGAAGTCAGAGATTAGAGAGTGATGAACACTTGTTCTCAGCTCACTTTACCTTTTTTTTATTCAGTCTAAGACTCTAGACCTTAGGATGTTAGTGCACATTTAGGCTAAGTTTTGCTATGTTAATTAATTTAATTTAAATAAACTTAGATATGTCCAGAGCTTTGCTTTTAAGTTCATTCTAAATCCCACTGAGTTGATGATTAGCCATCATTAGCAGGTATTTTTTCTGTATGTTGACTTTGTTTGATTTCTTATGATCTACATATGTTTGCTTATGTATGCATGCAGAGAGAGAGAGAAAGAGAGAGAAAGAGAGAGAGAGAGAGACAGAGACAGAGACAGAGAGAGACACAGAGAGAGACACATACAGAGAGAGTTATGACTATTCTTTAAAATATTTTTTTCTGAGTAAACTCATTGCTGGTTTCCATAGTGACTGGATCACTTTTAATGTGGAAAAGATGGATGGGAAGTGGTGAGATATGATTCTTTCAGTTAACATAGTTTTTGGTGTACTGGATTATCTTGCATTTTAGAATCTTAACTTCCCACAGATAACCAAAACCTTGACTTTTTCCATGTTCTCTAGTAAGGATTTTTGTTCCAAACCAGGGCTTTCCCTTTCTTATGTGTGTTTCCATTGTTGTCCCTTCTACTTTCTAAAGTTTAGCTGTGTCTGAATATGCTCCAAGGACTACAACAGAACTACTGTGTGCCATTTTACTTTGCTTTGGTTGAGAAAAAAAATATATGTGTGTGTGTGTGTGTGTGTGTGTGTGTGTATGTGTGTGTGTGTGTGTAAGTGTAGGAGCACATATTGCAGCTAGCATGTAAAGCTCAGTGGAAAATTGTGGGATTCA